GCTGCCCCGCTCCAGTCTCCGACACAAGGCCCTGAGCAATCGCCTGTTTACAGCACTTTTCTTTCCAGGTTTGGCTGCAGAAATCTCACTCTGTGATATCGCTAGGGGGAGCACTTACTCCTTAAAAAAAAAAAAAAAAAAATGAAAAGAGAAAGAAAAGGGAAAAAGTTCCTAACGATGCACTTTTATCCTGACTGTCTCTGGAAGGTAAAGTGTAAAATGTTTTAAAATTCACTGTCCAAAGTGAAAAATACTTTAAAAGTGACAAGGGACTGTAAAAATACGCAACATAAAAGTTAGGTTCAGCTACGGCCATGCCACCCTGAACATGCCGGATCCTGTCTGATCTCGGAAGCTTGGTCAGGCCTGGTTAGTACTTGGATGGGAGACCACCTAGGAAGACCAGGTGCTGTAGGTGTAAAAAGTAAAAAATAAGAGATTGTAAGCTGACAAGGCCCTTGCAATCTGTGAGGTCAACCAAGGGTTTCCTCATCTAAGAAAAAAAAAGTTAGGTTCAGTACATTAACCAACCAATCAATACATTTAATGCATAATGTAAATAGCAAATGTTACTTCAGATCATTTGGTAAAAAAATATATATAAATCTGTAAAACAAGCTGATCTTATTTTCACTAAGTTTAACATGCTTATTATAATTTGTGAAGATTCTAGTTTCTGATAAATATTACTAGTAAAGAAAGTCGATATTTATCACAAATGTCAATTGATAGACTTCACCTGCCCATTACTTTATTAAATTATTGCGAAGCAAAATTAATACTGTTATCCTCTTTTAAAAGTTTGAAATATACCTGGAGCACCTAAGCAGCAAGGAAGTAGGGAAGGAGAAAGGGGACAGAAGGGACTTAACATTAATTGGGAACCTATTCTGTATCAGGGGCTCTATGCATAACGTGACAACCTGGAGAAACAAATTACCATTTCCATTTACAGATAAGAAAACCAGAGCCTTTGAATAGTATGCCTGAAACTTACTGGATTTCATTAACCAATGTCACCATAATAAAAATAAATAAATTTGTTTTAAAAAAGAAAGAAAACCAGAGCTTAACAACCATAAGTAACTTGCCCATGGTCACACAGATAATAAATGGTAGAACAGGATATAAACTAAATCTGTCTGAGTCTACTACCTATGATACAAAAAAAAAAAAAACCAAGTTGCTTAAATCATCTGGCATTTTGGTCACCTTAAAATTAACAGATATAGTTTATTCCATTAAAAGGCATATATTTATATCACAGCAAGGAACAAGAAAGAACCAAAACAGCAACAACATAAAATATGGCTTGCCCTCAAAGAGTTTATAATCTATTAAGGAAAATGTGTGCATATGTGCATACATACATACATACATACTGAGAAGGAGAGACAGAGAGAGAGTTAAAGAATACACAGTAGTGATCACTAGTTGAAGAATGCAGCCACTAAGCGATACGGGAGCTCAGAGAAGCCTGGGATGCATGTGGTTTCAGCCATTAGGAAAGGCCTTATGAAAGATGCAAGATTACAGGGCCATCCTAGGGATGGAAAATGTTGGATAGATATAACAAAAGGCTAACCCAGGATGGGGAAGAGCAGAGTTAAAGATGAACACATGTATCTGAGTAACAGGAAAGAGGCCAGCAGAACTGCTTCAAAGAGAGAAGGACTGAGTGTAAACAATCCAAGTGTCCACCAACTAATGAATGAATAAGCAAAATGTGATACACCTACACAGTGAAATACCATTCGTTAATAAAAAGGAATAAAGTTCTGATATATGCTACAACATACGTGAAACTTGAAAACATGCTAAGTGAAAAAAGTCAGTCACAAAAGGCCACATGTTATATAATTTCATTTGCATGAAATGTTCAGAACAGGCAAATTCACAGAGACAGAAAGTAGACTGGTGGTTCCCAAAGGCTGGGAAGAAGTACGGAAGAACTGCTGATAGGTACGGGGTTTCTTATCGGGGTGATGAGAATGTCCTAAAATTGATTGTGGTGATGGTCGCACCGTTCTGAAAACACTAAAAACCATTGAACACTACACTCTAAATGGGTGAATTGGATGGCATATGAACTACGTCTCAATCGTGCCGTTAAAGAAAAGCAAGGGCCCAGTGGGACATCACATTGCACAGCTAAGATGGCACCAGTTATGCCAAGTCTAAGGGTCTGGAATTGATCTGGTAGGCAATCAGAGAAATGAGTAAAGATTTACCTAATGAAAGCACAGTATACGCATACTTAGGACTCTTCTCTAACAAAATAATTCACATATTTGAAGTACATTCCTAAAATGTATGCCAAAATCACAAAGAAGAAAGAGAACGGGAAAAAGATGTTGTGGTATGATTTTGACTAATCCACAAGCTGTGAATATTAGAAAAGTTGTTTTGTTTCAGTGCTAAATGCCACAGATGGGTGTATCAGCATCGTATTTATGCAAAACCACAAATTCGTCTGTGTCAAATCTTTAAATACCATAATGTTCTAATCTTAATTGTTAAATAGCATTAATAATTGATCTAGCTTCCTTTAGGGTGAGATAATGAACACTGTGATTTGTTTTTTATTGGATGACAGTGCTCTGTATATAATGCTTTTTTCAATATTAGACTCAATTTAAATGCTATCAGACTTCCCACTCATATCAAGCATTCCCTACTGATACTTACACATTTGACCCTAAATTCTAATTTAATATAATATTCCAAAATAGTTTTACTATACAAAATAAGAGAGCTAAAGAAACAAATCTGACATTCGAAAGCAGAGAGCAAAAAAAACAAAATAAAAAGATATTAAATAATCAATGCAAAGGAAAAGGAAAAGGACTCAAAAATAAACCCGAAAATCAGAGAGAGAAAAAATAGGACTCAGCATTAGGTTCTATAGCACTGGGGAGTATAAATTTTTAAAAAGCAATAAATTACATTTAAAATAGAAGACTCAGTACCTGAGAGCAGATGAGGCTTTAACAGAGGAAAGTTTGGAAAATGTCTGGGAACAACCTCACTCCTCCCCGCGCCCAATCCCAGGGAAGAAAGAACCTTTCAGGCAGTCTTAGAGAGCTATCCCTTCAGAAGTTAGCTTAGAGGTGAAATTCCACTTTCCCCCAGGAGGTGGTGAGGTGGCAAAAATACAAAAACACTGCTGGAGAGCCCATACACAACCAAAGCAGTGTTCGCCTCACCTTGTAAACCTCCTTCAAGGTAGATGAGCCACGAAAAACTAAAGGAGATATCGGATCTCTTTCAAAAGTCTCTTGTCTTAAGAATGAGAGGACCTATCTGTCTCCATCAGGGCTTTGTAAGTTCCAGAACTGGATGAAACTTATGTTCTTTGCCTGAGAAATACAGACAACTCAGAAGACCTGGTTTGCTAACAATAAAAGCAAAACAGGAAACAAATAACTACCCTAAAAAAGAAGCCTTGTCACTGATATCTAGAAGATGGTATCTGCTGTTGCAAGTAAGTAGAGCAAGACTCTCCATTTCCTAATCATAAGCCAGTATTTATACAAAGAAAAGAATTCAGTAGGAGTAAGTAGGACCTTATTTCAAATCATTAACTGCTGTCTGTTAAAACAAACTATTCCAAACTTTCATCAACTGTCTACCTACTCCAAACAAAAGAACTGTGGGGAAAGGCAGATGCTTACAATTAGGTTTCACCATATTGGACATGTTAATGATTAAGGAATAAAGTACTTCGAATATAACAATAAAATAACAAAATAGGTTAAACATTGGATTATTCTCTATTAAACACCAAAAACACATGCTGCTAATTCATACAAAAATAAAAGTTTTCTTTTAAATAAATAGGTGGAAATGATGAGCGTCTGCTACCAAAATCACCAAAAGACCATCAACATAAGGTCCAAGGTCCACTTTAAAGTGATAAGATTATTGGAGAGAATAGTCTAAATTGTAAGCACGCTAAGATTCTAAGAACAGAAACCCAAGATGCCACTAATAGGCTAAAGAATAATTTTAAAAATGGACATCATGCAGAGGTTTATTGTTTTTGTTTGTTTGTTTGTTTTTTTACAGGATCCTTCAATGAATAACGTGGATCTAGAAACACGATTTATAAAGAAAGAACAAGAAACTTGCCAGCACCTAAGCTAAGGAAATGACGACAAACATCCCGGGACATAAATAACATTAGTTTTCAAAATGTGATTCTGAAAAAACAAAAGTGAAAACTAATTTGCCAAAAGGGGGAAAAAAAATGTTGTGCAAGTTAAAGAAAAATTTTAAAATAAAGGTACACAAAACACCTTGGGATATTCTGTTTCTTAAGTATTCTCAGAGATATGTTCGATAATGTTCATCACATTAGCTTTCAGGAAGCCAAATGCACAATTTTCAAAATAGTTGAGAGAAATCATGTAAATATTTGCAATAACCATTTGCCTTAAGCAATTCTGCAGAGCTTGTGAGATGAAATTTAAATGAGAATAGACGTAATTCAATTTTAAAATCTCTCAAGAAATATAAAGTTCACGCAGCAAAAATAATATGAATAGGATATCCTGATCAACAAATTGAACTACTATATTTGTGGAATTTTTTCTATATAGTAAATAGTATATAAGGTTCATACCCTACGATTAACTTAAAATTAATCCCTGGATATTCTTAAGTCTCATCTAAACTGACTGAATGTTATGTGAGAACCACCAAAGCTCGAAAATAAAAAAAGAATGAGATTCAGCTCAAACCACTAGTTGTTCTATTTCTCCTCCTCCAAGCAATATTCTGTAAGTTAGGTATCTTATTTGATTTTTCTCAAAATTTTAATAAGTCAATATCTAAATTTTTAATTTATAACATAATTAAAAGTGTTGTGCCTGCAAAAGTACTCTGTTCAGGTGGTTAAGTAAACCTGAACATGACCGTAACATGGCATTTCAGAAAGCATTCATCCACGCAGCCACAGGGAAAGAAGCAGCAATTTACAGAAAGACTTTTGGAAATACCTGAGCAGATAAACAGCCCTTTCAATATCACTGAGGTCTTCATCAACGGTCAATCTCTCTATTTCTTCTGGTGTCTGTCAAGTGTAAAATACAAATTATGCACACAAACATTCATCAGTCTCGCCCCCCTCCCAACCAGTGCCACTCCAGGGACCCTCTATGACTACTGCCAACTAATGAAAAAGTTTCACAATTAAACATTATCACTGAAAACTAATCAGTGGTCTGAGAACTCTAGGTGATGACCTCAAGCACAGAGGTCTCTAATTGTCTCTAATATGTTGGGTTTGGGTAGAGAGGTCTGGGGTTTGGTTTTTGTTTGTTTTTTTTTTTTTTTTTTTTTTTTGCTCTTCTAGATTGAAGCTTGAGAATCTCACTGTGGCCTCAGAACATTGCTGAAATCAATTTTATATGCATATACAAAATATATACATACTTTTTATCTCTAATCCCCTGAAGCTGTTTCTCCAGCATTTTCCACCCTAGGATATGCTAAAAGGGTGATGGATGAAGACTGCAGCCTAATGAGAATGAAAAAGACGAAATCTAGAGGGGAGGGGGGCGGAGGGAATAAAATCTGGGGCTGGAAAGAAATCAAAGATTCAAGATATTGTGGCAGGTGGTAGTGAGAAGAGCTAAAAGGGCTATTAAGAGGATGACTCGGGGGCAGAGGGGGTCCGTAAACTAGGTTTGCCAACAGTGAGGGTTGGAGCCTCTGGGAGGCTGGGAGGAAGATGACTCTGCGGGGTGGGGGTGCTAGTGGGGGTGGGGGAAACTAGTAAAGGTTGCTCCCTCAAGGAGGGTGGGAACCAGGGCCCCAGCTAGAATCCTGGAGGGGCCCCTGAATGTGGTGACTCAGGATTGGGGCAAAGGGTCGAGAGGGCTTTGAAGATGGGTGGTAGGACGACTCTACTATGGGTGCTGCTTGGGAGGCGAAGGGAGGCCCGGGCTGACTTGGGGACAGGGAGACTCAAGCTTGCTCTGATGCGTGACGGGGGCGAGGGTGATGAGATCGGGGGTGTCTCAGAGAGAGGTGGGGGAGGAGTCGCGGCTGTGTTGACTGAGAAGTGGGACTGGGGCCAGAACCAGGGCAGTACAGGGGGCCGCGGCGGGGGGCTGGAGGGTGGGCAGCGGGGAGAGGACTCGGGATAAGCCGGCTGCGGCTCAGAGGGGGAGCTCCTGCAGCGGCGCGAGTAAGAAGGGCAGCAACTGAGGAGCCACCGCTGTCCGAGAGGGGCGGCGCGGGGGAAGACGCTGGGGTGGCCCGAATGACAGGGGCTCGGCCGGCCGTTCCTGGGGGCGGGCTGGGGAAGAGGACTAGGGAGCCGAGGGGCGCCGAGGCTGGCCCCGGGTCAGGGGAAAGAGCCAGGGGCCGGTCCCTCAGTGAAGGGGGTCCAGGCTGGAAGAACCTGGGCTGCGTTGAAGAAGGGATCCCGAGAGGGGCCAATTAGGGTGACACGGCGACCGGAGGAGGACTGAGAGGCTAACCGGACTCCAAAGAGGTCCCGGTCCACCTCGGGGACTGGACGGGGAACGGGACGGGGGTAGGGGCCCGGGCCAGCCGCCGAGCGCCCTGCGGGCAGTTCCTCCTCCCTGGGGCGCACCTTGAGGCTTCGGCGGACCGGCCTCTCGATGATGGTGAGCTCCTGCAGGTCCTCCATGTAGCCGAACAGGCTGTTCTGACTGAAATCCATCGCAGCGGCGGCGGCGGACGGCGGCGGATGCATCAGGGACCCC